GACCTCGGGGCCGGCAGCGCCAGGAGGGGGGGAGCAGGACCGCGGCAGCCCCGGCTGTGTCGTCGTCCTGCGTGGGCGCAAACATGCATGGGGGGCGGGCCGGGCCTTCGGCCTCCGTTCTGGCGGCGAAGCCGGGGCGGCAACCCAGCAAGGGACACGCCATGGTCTGACTCTCGGGACCGGGGGGAGAGGGTCTGGAGCCGGGCCCAGGGCGGGTGGTGCCGCGGGCCGTTGTGTGCGGCCGTCTCGTGGACCTGGGCGCGCATGCGCGGCCCCGCCGCAGGACGAGAGCGGAAAGAGCGTGAACGCGGCGGGGCCGGGGACACCACCACAACAGGGAGGCCCGAAAAAAAAAAACAACACTGGTCGTCCGGGCTCCGGCCGGTGGCGGGGGGCGAAGGGGGAACCGGGCGCGCCGGCCGGGTCAGGTGGGTCTAGGAGCCGCCGGCCTCTGTTGGCAGCTGCGCCGCAGTGTGCAGGCGGGCGGGCGTGTATGTGTGCGTGTGTGCGCGTGTGAGCGGTTGTGCTTGTGGGAGGACGCGCCTGCCCGGCGGGGGCAGGTGCGGGTGCGCTGGGGCGCCTGCCTCGCGCCCCACCCTCGGCCATGGGGCGCCTGCCGTGGCCCAGGACACCCGGCCGAGGCCCGGGGGCAACAGGGCCCCCTCCGGGCCGGGGCCCTCGGCCATCGAGCTACTGGGTCCTGGGAGCGCGCCCGGGCGAGGAGGAGGGCGCGCCCGGTAGCTTGGCGGCGGGCAGGACGCACACTAAGTCATCCCCGGCCGCTCGCTTGATTCTCCCCCGCCCGCCCGCCCGCCCCCGGGCCCCGAGCGGCAGCCAGGGCCGAAGGGCTGGCGATCTCCCGAGCGGCGCGCTCTGCCGAGGCGCCGCCGGGCCAAGGCTTGCTCGGCCGGGGGAGAGGCCCACCTTCGGCCGAGTGGCTCTCTAGGGTTGTTTTTTTTTTCCCCCCCCCCTGAGCTCGTGCAGAAGGGCAGACCGGGGCCGACCGGGCCTTTCTCTCTGGCTCGGGTCCGGCCTGCCGCGCAAGAGAGAGGCCGGGGCAGCGGCACACATCAAATAGAGCCCATTTAAAAATGGGGCCTTTTCCTTGGGCAGCACACCTCGGCCAGGCGTTTCCGACCCCCTGGGCCGCCCATCGGTCGGGAGCACGACCGGGGCCCGGGGGGGGGGGGGGGGGGGGCGTCTGCACGGGGGTGGGGGGGGCGGCGGGGGAGGCGGACGGGCGCGGGACGGGCGGGCGGCCAGCACTATTGCACACACATATGTTGTTTGCATGTTGCTATCGTCGTCGTGGCCTTCGCACGCCCGTTTTTCCGAAGCGTTCCGCCCGCGCCACCCGCAGGCCCGCGCTCGGGACAGCCAAGACCGGCGTCTTGCTGCCCGTCCCCCCCCCTCTCCTTCTGCGGGGGGGCGCGGCGGGGGGCGGGGGGGGGGGGGGGGGCGGGCACCTGGGCCGCGGCCCCCTCCCTGGCGGGCCGGGGGGAGCAGAGGCTGCCGGGCAAGGGACAGCCACACAGCGCGCGCAGGCCGCAAGACCCCGGGTGTGGGGCAGGCGGCGGGGGGAGAGGCTGTGACACACAGAGGAGCATGAGACACGCCGCGCGCCCCGCCCCCCCTCCCAGAGGTGGGCCGGCGGCCGCTCACCGGGCCGGCCTAGGGTTGAAAGCCCGAACCCGGCCGCGGATCACATGCGGATAAATGCTATTTAGAGGATGACACGGCCGGGGCGCACGGGACGCGCTGTGGCATGATGAGCCCAGGAGCGGCCGCACAAACACAATCTTTCTGCCGGGCCAGCCAATCAATCGCCTCCACTCGCGCGTTCTTATTTTGCGGCCCACAGCTCTTGCTCGACTTATGTGCGGGGGCGCCGGGGGGGGGGGGGGGGGGGCATGGACATGCCTCGCCTGTTTGTGTGTACCCCAGCAGTGTCGGGGGAGATTTGCGCTCCTTCGGCCCCTCTCCGTGCGGCCGTGGCCGCCGCCCCCCCGCGCCGGACGGCGCGATCGCGCCCGTTGGGAGAGGGGAGAATCCGCCTGGTCTCGGGCCCGGCCCTCCTTGCCTGCTCCTCGGCTGCATCGCCAACCCACATGCCGGCACTTGTGTCGTCGCCTGCGCCCCCTCGGCCCGCTCTTAGGTGCACGACGCGGGCACGCGTGCATACACGCGCACGAACGCAGGGGCCACAAGGACAAACAATCAGGGGAGCGTGGAACATGGACTGTTTTTTTTTATTATGAAAAGGGTTACGCATGCGGCGGCCCCGGCGAGCCGTCCTCCCCCTGCGCGGCGGAGAGGTGTGCGCGCCATCATCCGTCTCCCTCGCCCGCCGTGGGGAGGGGGCGGTGGGGATGTGCGAGGGCGAGCCGAGAAAAAAAAGGACAAAGGACATACAGAGGAGAGAGGGGGGGGGGGGGAAAAGGAGGGAGGGCACATGCACCGGGGCCGATCTAGTGGCCGGCGCACGCGACGGCTCCCGGGGGTGTGAAAAGGGGGAGAGAGAGAGAGGGAGAGAGATAGGCGCACGGCGGCGCGGACTGCCCGCGGTCCGGCCATTAGCGGAAGAGCTTGCTACCGATGTGGAGAACAAAGACAATGAAAATGAAGGCCACGGCGAAGATGAGGATGTGGACCGGGTCACTGTGGGGGTGGTGGGGGGGCGAGGGGCGGCGTCAGCGGGGCGGGGGAAGGCGGCGACCCGGCAATGATGGCAATGGTGGCAAAGGACGACGCACAGCTCCATGCGGCTATCCTGGACGAAGCCGACGGCACCACGGCGGGCGCCGGGGGCGGTGGCAGCGCGAGCGGCCTTGCTGTGGGGGTGTCAGTGTCGGGGCAAGGCACCGAGCGCCGGGGCGCAAGTAAGCAAGTGAGGGGGGGGGGG